AGCCAAAGGATTGAAGAATAAGATTTATACACTATCAAAGCAATTCTAGAATTCATTAAAATGGTAGTTAACTCAGTGCATAAAGTATTTTGATGGTTGTATAGTTGGGGTTACAATAAGGGAGACGATTTTCTCCATTTTCCAAGTTGCTTTCGTTGAGTTCTGTTCCCGGATATGTAGGTTCATTCAGTTGGTTCACATCTGAGTTTCAAATTTTAGTACTTGCAATCCTTCTCTTATTCTCAAACTGTGGTCTATTTTGTATATAAAAAAAAGGTTTTCTTTTTCTGATACAAGAGGTGAGAGTTATGGGTTGAAGTTAGAATTTCTAATCTAAAATCTAATCTAATGACAACCATAATATTCCAAGTTAATTTATACAAATAATAAATGCTCTATCTGTCAACAAATTTTCATCATGAATATGACTGATAACTTGCTTGAAGCCTTGAGCTGACCCTTACCAAGATCTTTAAGAAAGGAAAGACAATAATGTTTTCCTTTGGTTATTCCTTTTCCTAGACGATATTCATTTATTCTATTACCAACCAGAAGGAAAAAGATTAAAATTTTGACAGTATTCCAGCATTATATGGTATCCAAGGGCCAAAAAGATCATTCTAGTTATATGAGAATCCCAAAAGAACAGAATTCTTCTGGTAATTATATTGTTCCAAATACCTTATGGCTTCCTATGAAGGAAGGTATGGGGAAAAAGTAGCTTCTAGATGTGCCTTGTCTGAAACCATCTAACAACAGCAAATTCAGATCCAGGGAGTTCCATACTGTTACAAGAAAGAATGTTTCTTTTTCCACATTGAAAACTGATAATGTTTCACCGGAGTTGTGGACTAGACTTAGACTAATGAACACGTTACTTCCAAAGGGAGCCGTTTTTCTAAGTAAATTCTAATTTAAGAGAGTATGTTATTTTTGTGGTACTTTGGAGATAAGGAAAGAGATTGCATGTATTGAAATTTGAACCTATAAACCAGTTGGATTAAACCTCAGGTTCAAGAATAAGTTATTTTGCTGGAGCAATATATGTACTTGTTGGAAGGGGAATTTTTCTTCATATAAATCAAATGGAAGCCCACCAAATCTTCCACTGTTCTGCATGAAGGTAAATAAACAAAAAAATAAGGCAAAATTGTTTGCCTTCCGTTTTGTTTTTCATTTTGTTGAATAATAAGTTAAGTTCCAGCTTGGTGAAGCCGGCGATATTGATATCGGATATATATCAATACAACTATCAAAAGATTTTAGCAGCTAAGTGCCTGAGGATCAAAACTGTTTCTTTTTTGTTAATAAAAGAGGCCATAGCCTCCGAATAGTGTAAAATATTACAAGTATTGAGATTTGAAAATACGGAAATTTGAATCTAGACTTGTTAATGCTACCTGTTAAAGGTGGTTTAACGAACTAACCGCACTAACCACTAGTCAAAACTGTTTTTCATTAACAATGAAGTTGATGTAAACAATCCAGGTCTAGTCCTGCGGTGATTGTTACCCCTCAATGAGAGGGCTAAGCTCCAAGGGTTTGAATCTCGTCTCCTCTTAGATTTTCCCATTCATAAAAAATTTTTAAAAAAAATTCCAACGAAGCTTACAAGAAATGACTCTGGCTGAAAAATTAGAGCAGCTAGGTTCAATGACAAGAAAGGAACAAGTGTTGATATGCCGATGCCTGAAAAGGATTGCCACGTCAAAGGAATTATAGCTGTCTGCTTCTCGAAAAATATCTACCATTTTTTTCCATCTTCAGGAATGTGCTTAAGGGAATAATCCTAACTTGTGGGCATTGATGCAATCATACAGAAGTTTAACTTTAAGGTTGCTTTTTCACTAATTACCTTTTCATAGATATTCTCCTTGCAGCATCAATTGTGCTCATCTTCTTTAGAATCTCTCTATTTGAATTGCTTGGTAGAAAGTCACAACCCCCAACTATAGACAAGCCTTTTTGGGCTTCGTCCGCCAAAATTTTAATAAACAGAATGAGACATGATCCTCGTAGCAAACCCGACAAGAAAGGAAGAACCGAATGATGAATAAAGCCACACCGAATTACTGATATGATGATAGCACATCAACCAAAAAAAAAATAAAAGGTAAAGCATGGTTCAAATTCAAAAGAAAGAGCCATGGTGCTGCCAACAAATGTAAAAGTTTTTACTTTCAGGTTTTCCCTTATGTAACTACTGAAATGATATATGAAGGTGTCAGCTTGCCTTTGGGAGTAAGTTACTCAATGGTTGTATCAAGGTCCAAGGGTTTGAGATCAAACCTTGCCTTTACCAGGGTGGTAGCAATCTAACAATCTAAAATACGATATGAAAACGATATGAAAAAATATATGAAAATGATATGATTTAAAATTTAAAAAAAAAACCATATATGAGTTTAATAAAACAAAAAAAATGTATTTCGTGATTTTGTTTCGACATGAATTATGATACAATTTTCGTGTAAATACGTATAAATATACGAATTACCAGTATTTCACATAACACGAATATAAGAATCACTAGGTTGCAGGGGAAGGGTATCAAATGCCCTTTGAGAACCTTGCATCAGATGTGCAGGCAAGAGATTAATTTTGGCTGTCACGCTGAGAATTTCAGGTTCAGTTTTCCACTAGTAGAATGTTCAAAAAGCAATACAAACCCGATCATTACCATCCATCTACCAATGGTAAAGGCAAAATACTTGAAAGGTATATAAACCTCAAGGTTTTCCAGGTTAGAAACCACGTTATTTACAACACTGTATCTTCATCATCTTCAGCATCAATGGTCTCTACTTTCTGATTTCTTCACATCACTTTCAAGACAAGTAACAAATTTAACAACCTTCTTCAGGATTTACTTGGTTTAAATATTCCATGGTGATATTAAAGCAAGATTCTCATCATCTACAGAAAGCATGTAAATCTCAAGAAGACTCTGCAGTAGTCCTTTCTTGAGATGCTAAACTCTAGGCTTCTGCAACTATCTAAGTGAAAAGGGAATAGAGGATAACACCGAGCTGTAGAGTCAACCAAGTGAATTCAATTTCGTTATTAAATATCATTAGGAAAAAGGCCCTTCTCCTCGCAGGCTCCCCAGGTGTCTGTTTTTATTTTCTCGTGTTGTCCGCTTGGTAGTCTTAAGCGAATTAGACCACAGAGGAATAACAACTTGAACTATGTATTTTATTTTTATTTTATTTTTATTCTATTATATGTTATCTTTATTCTATTAGTCTATTCTATTTAGTATTATATATATTAGTATAATATTAGTATACTAAATATAATATTACTATATTTTTTATTTTATATTTTTAGTATTTTTTAGTATATTTTTAGTATATTTTACATTTAAATTATATATAATTTTTTATTTTTATATAGATATAGATATAGATTTAATTTAATAGATAGATTTAATTTTAACATAGATAGATACATTTAATATAGATTTAATTTATTTATATTTAGTTTAGAATTCTAAATAGAGTCTAATAATTAAATAATTATAGTGAAAATCTCTTTATGTATTTATATATAATTTATATATATATTATCATTATGTATATGATAACTTGAAAAGTATTGAACCTGAAAATCTCACAGTTTTATCCTACAAAAAATACCTCATAAGTTTGAGTTTAAATTTTTACATATGTATCATTACTTATCCATACATTCTTTCAATATTGGATTGGGGACGTTACACCTCTCTCGCTCAAGCATCAATTATGACGTAAGAAGCCTATATATGCATCACCCTAGCTGACTCTGATCAGAGTCCTCAACCGCAATAGTAGCAATAAAAACTTGAAGATGAATTCTTATTCCAAAAGAAGGGAATTATGCAGTAGAATTATGCAGTAGCACAGCCTAAGCAACTCAAAAAAGTGCTTTTAAGATCAATCTTGTTAATGTGATATTTTGTAATTATGTAGTCAAACGTGATATTAGGGATTATGATACTATAATTAGAATAATATCTAAGATTTACAATATCGTATGTGATTCTCTTTTAATTAGTGAGAATCCTCTGTATATAAATAAGCCACATCTACATAGTATGTTCTCAAACTAGTAAATACAGAATTACTTTCTTCTAACAAGTCTCTTTTGATATCATGTATCATACACAATAAAAACAGAGTACAGTGACCTAGATCTTTAACACTCAGGCAGAGGAAAGCCTTACTACATTCTGAATGTTAATTTTAACAGTCTGGTAAGTAGGATTGCTAAGGGGTCTGATTCATAATAAACTATAAATGTATAATTCCATATGGCAATTCACAATCCATTAAGTGTCATTTGACTTGAACCAATGTCATTAAATGATGCACGTAGCACTTAAAATAATCAATAATAAGAAATAAAGGCTAGAATCAATGGCTGAAGCTAGCAGTAGAACATTCAGAAATGAAGATCAGCGTGTCGAGAGAGAGAGAGAGAGAGAGAGAGAGAGAGAGAGAGAGAGAGTACCTTTTCAGGTCAACAACAATGATGGAGATGTTATCATAACTACATGCATCAAGAGCTTGCTTAAGAACCTGCTGAGAAACATACCAAGATGGTGGGAATGGACTATCATTAATCCCAAAAAGCCTCCATTGCTGTCTTAGTTTTTTGCGAGCAAACTTTACAACCTCTTCTTTGGGTAAAACATTCCAGAGGCCATCACTTGCCAAAATCAAGCATTCATCTTCTTCGGTCCGGGTAATGAAGCTAAAAAGGCGAAAACATTAGTACTTAACATATAGCTTCAAAATTTGAGTTGTGAAATTCTAGGCCAACCAGAATTTAAGTGGGAGGGGGAGACAATGCAGTATCCTTTAAGAGTTAATTCGTCTGTAACATACATTACAACTTGGTAGATACATATAACACCATCTGATTTAATTTTGCAATTCTTCTGGAAAACCATTTTGGTAGAAGAAAGTTGACAACTCTATGAAGTAAAGCAAGAAACATGTGTAGCGAAATATATGAAATGACTCTAGAATGGGCATCATTTTTACAGGATAAGAGTCAACCAATAGATAGAAGTCCTAAAAATCACCAACATAGTGTATTCTAAATCTGAAATGAAACCCAAGAAAGTAGTGTCTATGGTAAGATAAACATATACAATGTTTTAAAATCTAATGAATTGCTCCATGGTGCCTGGACTTGGTGTGAATGAGACAGGTATGTTCAAATTTCCGTAAGATTTTCCTTATATTTGGAGTATCATGCCTCACGTACATGCCCACTTGAGGTGTTGGATACAAACTTGACACAGATTGTACAGGAAAAATGAAGAGTAATAGCAACGTAGGATTTGCTATACTGCTCCTGGCATACTTGCAGATCGGTTCAACTATGTGCCTCCAGGTTTTGTTCTTTGAATGAAAACAAAGCCTGAGTAGCTATAATATTTGAATGAATTCAAAACACAAAATGAACAATCTTTGTTTTGGCTGAAAAACAAATTACTAACATGAATTAAAGTTGTATAGCAATTCACTTGCTCATGCAGTGGAAATCAAGACAGAATTGGGTGGTGTAGAAGCGAGAAAAACCTATTGCTCTTGACATGGAAAGAACTCCCTCCACCCTTAAACAGCCCTAGTTAAAAATTCCACCTTCGCTACTAGTGATCCTTTCTAGCTCATCTGCTCGGACTATCTGCAAAAAAGACAAAGACCACATATTTAGCAAAGTGATAAGAAAAGAGAGAGGCGGCACCAGGAAACCTTAAACAATGCATGGGTTTGAACTGTACAGTGAAGCATGTGTGTGCTTGTCATAGATAAATAGGGGATAGCAACAACGTATACATCTGCGCATGAAATATTCGGGCCATACTTCAGGATACCGTTACAAAGGCAAGACGGCTTAAACTATTGTCAAATTGTGTGTTTCTTGAGTTTGTATTTCGTCAGTTTTACATGATACAAAGGGCCGATTGTTCATAAAGGGGATGTTGGGCATTACTATTGATGCCCACACTTTTCATTTACATTTTCACTATGATGATAGTCGGTCGTGTTTTAATCGGTTTACTGACTTCAGCAGTTTTTGAAAGTCGTAATTTCCTTTGATAAATGCTCCACGTCAATGGTGTTTGGATTGCCGGAATTATCCCATCAACGCTCGTTGGATTATGGAGTTGAAGGACAGAATAGCCCAGAAGAACAGTGTATAAAAGTCAAAGCCAATATACAAGGACTTGATATGAGAGCCAAGGCATTCACAGCTAAAACCATTTGATTATTAGGACTACAAGCTGTTTACAGATGGAATGAATAAACATTTCCACCTATGTTATAACGACCCAGAAATTTCATAGTATCAAAAAATAAAACTAAATAACTTGGAGAAAATATGGTAATGCAAAAAATTTTAACCAAAATAAGATGTAAGTACCACTCCTTCCCTGCAGTTCAGACTGCTTGAATGGCACCAGTCTTGCCCTTGCTCAAATCTCTGCCACCAACTGGCGCGTTTGCATGAAATGCTGATTGTCGCGATGGTTCTCCTAGCAGTTTTAAGGACAGTGGCGAAGGCTCTCTAAGGCCACTTTCAGTCTCTCCTATACTAAGCTGAGACATACCAACTAGTTCATCTACATTGACAGGTTCCTTGGGAAGCAATGGAACTGGCTTCAGTACCTGATGTTGAGATGCCTCTATGCCCTTCTCTTCCCCAGGAGGGGCTGGATTTGGTGGCCAAAATGGGAAAGGAACAGGTACATAAGGTGGGAAGAAACCATGGACCATTGGTTTGAATCCACTTGATCCCATCATTGTTTCTTCAGTTTCTTTAAATGTTTCTCGTGCTGCATCTTCTCCATGCTCAAATTCAGAGTTGAGAGAGAGATTTAAAGAAGGTATTGTATTTGAATTATCTGCTTCTTCAACATGTGAAGACGGCAGCAAAACTTGGTCTTCAGGCACTGGTGGTGCATCTGTATCCTGCAAAAGAACAAAAAAGTTGATCAAACTAGAATCGATGAGAAAAAAAACTTTACATTTAGTTTAGCAAAAATATAGAAGCTAGCCCAGCACAAATGGCACACCATGCACCCAATGCAAATTTAATCTGAATTCAACAGCATGAACCCAACGACATGAATATGGAATAACCTGAACCCAATCTGACCTACAACCAAAATTGTTGCTATTTGTTAGCAAAGCAAATGCATCAAAGGTCAATCTGAAACTACACAAAACCCAAACTAAAATTGGCTCAAAATCATGAAGCCTACATAGCACAACCTGAACCCATCCACAGCCAAATCGATGCCTCTAATTTAGATTGTATATGCCGTTAAGCTCATCTACTATAGAGTGAGATCATTTTATTTTCACATGCACATTTGGGATCAAGATATGCTAATACTTAATAGCTTCAGTAATGGACACTGAACAGAGATATTCTCCTTAGCATTATTACAAATTTATCTTCTTTACAGTGATCAAGTGGTTGTCTGCAGATAGGCTGGGTTGTATGACAAATCTAACGTGCATGATGTGTTGCTACTTTTAGCAAAAATACTAATACAAAATAAAGAAGCAAGACAAACCATATCATCTGGAACCATGTCGAAAAGGCTTGAACGTCTCTTTCTTCGGGTAACATTACTGTGACGGATAAAATACTTCTGGGCATGACTTGCCACCTGTGTAGGTGTCCTTGACATAACAAAGTTGCGGGCTATCCCCCGCCAATCCCCTTTCCCTAATTTCTGGAGGCCAATTAGAAAGAGTCGATGTTCCTCCTCAGTCCATGGGACACCTGTAAGGCTACCAAATTTTAAGTATATATCTCCAAATATCATTGCTAATTACTTAAGTCAACAAATATATCCATCCCACCAGTAAAACCTATAACCAGTCATTGTCTCTCCATTATTATGGGTGAGTCAAAGTTATAACCTACCAAAGGGCAACTAATCATTGATGTTCAAACAGAAACAAAGCAATATTTTAGCCTGCTTGGAAGTTCATTCCTTGCTTTGAAAGCAAATAATGCATATAACTAAAATAAGTACTTCAAAAAGATAACCAAAATGCAAACTAGTTACCCAGATGCCTGTACTACTGGAGGCATATCTGGTAGACTTTGATGTCCTCATCAGCCATGACACAAGGAAGAAAAATAGGGGATAGAATCACCTTAAAATGCAGAACATATCAATTGTTGCTTACTACGTAGCAATATCCACAGATCATATTGTATCATGCAATTGCAGACAATGGCCCAAGTGAAACATCTACACAAAATCATATGGCATTGACTAAATCAAAGTTTGCACCAGAAACTTGAGCAGAATTTGCTGCTCTTAACTAAGGCATAAGCCCATCTCCCGAAACAATGAGGTAAGACACTGTTGAAGCCTCAATCCTCCAAACCACTACTATACTCTCAATTTACTTGTCAAGAAGCATATCTATTGATCACTCAAATAACTCATAATACAAGAATCAACTTATTCAACCATGCAGCAGCAAGTAGTGTCATTTCCAAAATTAACAAGAAAACGTATAATAATTATTAAAGTTAATGTATGGCTTAAAATACTTAATAGTATGGAACAAACGTTCAGTGGATAATTACATTAAAGAAAGAGTGAAAGACAACTAATTTGAAAAGGAATCCATGTTCTTACCCACAAACTACTTTCTTCTTCCCAGGGATGACAATTCTGTTGGAACCTAGCTATAGAGGAAACTAGAATCAGCAAGTATAAATTATTGAAATATTAGTTTCAGAACTAAATATTCATTAAGGATGGTTTTGGTCTAAATCTAAGGCCGTAAGTACACCTATCAGAGACACGGCACTTCTCATTTTCAAAACACTCTTCTATCATGAGTTATTTAATAATAGCTCTTTGATTCAATATCAAACTTGAAGGCAAAAAAGTCACTATAGCTTCACATCATGTACCAAGAGCCAGCGTTTAAGTGCAGGTGCTCACACATGCACAGACATGCTAATAAACCACTTAAGACAGCTTAAATTGTTCCTTTTCCAAGGTTACTCTAGCCAGTTAGATATCTGCGGAGATCATAATAACACAAACTAGTCTCTGAACCATAAAGCACAACCCATCGTTTAGACTTTTGACCCTGAAAAGGAAAGCTTGCATTCATTTAAACAATAGTTTTTGAAGATAATTTTTCCTTGAAAGCTCCATTCACAGTTCAGACATGGTGAAGTAAAAGAGAGGTTCAATTATTACAATTACAAAGCATCCAATTATCTAATATCGCTTATTCATGTGGTCCCCAAAAGGCCAAACAACCCATAACAAGAACATAAAAGGTTTATTGCCCCAAAAAAGAAAAAGAACATAAAAAGTTTTTTTTTTTTTTAAGATATATATGTAGAGAAAGATGTTAAACTAGGAGAGGCTAATCAAAAACAGGGGAAAGGAAAAATACCCACTTTTAGTAAATTAAAGAAATTGACTAAAACATGAATAAATAGCCTTTCTCCAACTTTATTAACTTAATACAATTTCTGGAATAATTGTTCATTTCCTAATCAATAATTGGTTATTTAAACAACTAACATAAATGAACTCATATAGCTCAGCTAGTTCACCCACATTAAAAATGACATTCAGACCTGAATCTAAGCGTACGCAACTTCTTTCTTTATTTTAGATTGGGATCTCATTTGTATAAAAAAATAAATATAAATTACTAAAAACAGTACAGTTCTACTTTTTTAATACCATTTAAAAAAAAAATCTAACAAACAAACAAAAGAAGACCATTTCCTCATACTAATGATGTCCAAATAATTTTCTAAAACCCCAAAACAAGGAAAAAGGGAAAACTTGGCACTCAAATTTTCTTAGAAAAAACTTTTACTAAAAAACAATAATTTAATATATAATATAAATAAATAAACAAACAACCGGGGAAAAAAACCTTATCCAAAATCCAAATAAAATGCCTTAAAATCCCCGAAAAAGGATAAATAAACAACAAAAAACTTAAATCACAGCGTTTTGAGTTGATCACCTTTCTTTCTCTCTCCGCGATGGTTAGTTAAGCCATGCGCGGCAGGGTCATCAGAGAGGTAGCCCTCGAGCACGTGGCTGGGGTCACGGACGTGATCCGATAAAGGAGAGCCCTGATTAGGGGAAGCAGCGGCTGATGACGAGCTATGGTAGTGCGCCGACGACAGATTTCCCATACTCGCACTCTTCTTGATTATTGACCCGTCCGTCAGACGAACGCCAAATAGCTTCACTCCGCCGTTTCCGCCACCACCGCGTTTGGGACACGTGCGCGAGTTGTGGCCGTTGTTGCTGCAATGCGAGCATCGCCGAGTCATAACTCGCCCGAGCCAAGCCCAAAAAAACAAAAACTAATCTTGTTTATATTTTTAGTCAATATAATTAGAAAATAAATACAGGTTAATAAAGAACTAAATAGATTTAGAGAGAGAAAAAAGATTTTTTTTTTTTAGAGAGAGAGGGGAGATTGCATGGTAATGAAGGAGGTAGGCCTATTAAATGGAGGAAAAGGTTGGTGAAGGGTATTTTGGGAAATTTAAAGATTTAGATCAGAGTTGGATGATTAGAGGACCACGGTGGATCGTTATTGCAGAAATGAAATGACGGATTCGCCCTTCTGACGAACATAACGTCCTGTCTCTTTTTGTTTTTTTGGTTCATCGTGTTTTGCGCGTGTTCCCGTTGTCTCGGATTTTTGGATTTGGTTTCGAAAATTAAATCAAAATTTACTTGAAAAATGTAACTATGAAAATATAAATCTTAAAATTTCGCTATTTTCATTTTTGAATTTTACAATAAAGTAAACTGTTTGCGTTGAGTTTTGAGTTAAGAGGTACAACAATGAAATTATAAGAAAGAGCGATTAAGGATAAAAGTTTTGAATATTTTTTGTATTTTTATTTTGATATTTAAATTAAAAATTAATTATAAAAATTAAATAAAAATCAAGATGATTAGATATTATTTAAATAATTTTATTTATAAATAAAAAATAAAAAATTTGTAAGCTAAATTGACGACATGATTGAGCTCATATGATATTGTATATATTAAGTCGAATTAACATGTCAATTCAACTTAAAAGTAAAAAACACTCATAATTGTTAATTGATCAATTTTAATGGGAAAAAAGATTATTTTATTTTTTGAACTAAAAAATACCTTTAACATAAATCATATAATTTAAAAATAATAAATAAATAAAGAAACATAGTCGTTATTCTTCAAAATGCCTAATAATATCAGCTGCTGGCTTTCATATGATTTAGATGTGAATTATCAAGCAAATTTTTACAAATGTTGAGAATTAAATTAAACTTTGTAAAAATTCATTGAAAAAAACCACTTGTTTCTTCATATGACAATTTTTTGAATGTTGGTTTTTTGACAAGGACATTTCGCATGTATATGACAATTTTTATCTAGTTGTAATTTAAAATATGTGTTTAGGATTGACATTTTCTGGTTAAAGACATGGTATCTTTAGACTGTATAAATCAAATTTAAATTTATGACAAAGCTATTAACAGTTAAGTGAAGAGGATCTTGATAAATTATATATTAGATGACCAGTCCAATGCATTTGGATAAAAAATACGAAGATATGGATGAAAGAAACATGGCCTGTCGGTTTAGACACAACCGAATTTGCATGTATAAGGCAGACCAGCTTGCTATTTGCAACAATAAAATGCACATTGTTCCCCATAATCCTCTTTTGGGTTCGGAATAAAAACTTGTAAACGACACAAATTATTTTTTTAATATATTAAGTATTTTGTTCAATAATAATTGCTTACATTTTATGTTTAAATAATTAGTCCAAATTTTTTTTATAAAAAACATGTAGTAATCTAAAGATTAAAAAAAATTACAGTTGTCACGTTGGATTTTGAATTTTAAAATTGTTAAATGTTATTTCAAAAAATGATAACATAAATCAAGCAAGTGAATCTATGAATTCAAATCCAAACCTTTTTTTTAGATAAAAAATAAAATCAATACATTATTTAATAAAAGGTATTGTATTAACTAAAGTCTAAAGATAAACCCATTAGATTCTATAATTATGTCCACAAATAAGAAAAAGAATAGTTTAGAAGCAACTAATTAAATTTCAAATTTATCGGTGTGATTACCCAATTTTAATCTAAATTACACAATAATATCTATATTTATTGAAGAAAAAAGATTTTAAATTTAAATCTTTATTTCAGAAGATTGCTTACTAAAAAATATGTCATTCGCAATGATTTTCTACAGTTTCTATTTATTTTTCAATAATTCAAAATTTTAATATTATTTTGATTGAGATATTTAGGAAAAGAAAGGATTTGTGAGTTTTTTTTTCTAAGTTTTTGGATGTAAAAATCAATGTAAGAGTTTTCCGACATAATACTTGAGGCCAACATTTGTGTTTCAGTACTTATGGATGGTCAAGATAGGATGTAAAATATTGTGATATTAGAGATAGTAACGAGTCCAATCAAGTTTTTACTTGTGTTGTTTTGATTTTATTTTATTTTTATAATATTTAAATCGATTTGATTTGATATATATTTTTAATTTATTTATAATTAAATTTAATTTAATTTAATGTTATATAAATTATATTTAATTTAATTTAACTTAAAATTAATAAAATATTATTTTTTAAAATATAAAATATTATTTTTAATATAAATATAAAATTAAATAAATAATTAAAAAATATTTTTATATACATTAAATTAGATCGAATCAAATTTACTTAAAATTTAATTTTAACTTAATTTTAAAATTTTTTATTATTATTTAATTTGCTCTCTGATTTAAAAAAAAAAATCTTAAGATAAATTTAAAAAATATATATTTTAAGAGATCGAGTTAAGACAAAACACGAAATCAGTTGTCATCTCTAGGCGGCACACAGATTCGCCAAATCTGACTAAATATTTTAGGACAAATTTTTAGGATTTCATAATTCCAACATTTCATGTCTGAAAATCATCTTCTTCTTAATGACCAAACTGCCCCCATTTTGTTTTAGAATTTTGCTTTGTCGTTATATTGAAAGTGTTTCAAATCAATCAGGACTCCTAGTAAAATAGAAGCCCAAATGGGAGACTACTGGACCACTTAAATAATGCCACGTGGAATCAAGTGGTAGGCCATATTTGGTTTTTAGGTGGAGATTGATACATCGAATAAAATATATGAAAATTTTAAATACGAAAGATAAGACAATATAAAAATGATATAAAAATATAAAAATAATATAATTTAAAATTATGATAAAAATTAAATATTATATATAAATTTGATAAAAATAAAAAAATTTGAATATATCAACATAAATTATTATATAATAATTTTTATATTTGATATGTGTTAAATAAAAATAAATAAATAAAAATATATACATTATTAAATGTATTTAATAAAATTTTCAATTGAATGTTCATTTTAGGTATTTAACTTTAATATTTAGATTTTGATTCAGTTGGCTCATTCCATCTTTAAGACTCGATAATCTTTAAAGAAAGTGTTTGTTTTATAAATACTTTGACTATAAGAAATGAATCAAAAGAGCTCTTACCACTGTTAGATTTTATCTCATATTAAAAAATAATATGTAGAATAAAAAGTTGTTAAAATTTAACAATACTTATCAAACATATCATCATTCATCCATATGATTTGTCCTTAAACCTTAATTAGGATAAGTTTGGCTCTTAACAAGCTTTTCTACCAGGCATAAACCTAATAGCATGCCCCTTTGGCTCTTCTTAACAATATATATATATATATATATATATATATATATAAAGAAAGAAGTAATGGACCACAAAATCCCAACCTACCAGCCAATTTCTTAACCATTTCAATTCTGGACCATATCCAATGTGTTTTAATTGGTAAATTGAACGATTTTTTTTATTTTAATAACTCAACCATAAAAATTTATATTTTAATAATTAAAATTTAAATAAATATTATTTATTATTCTATAGTTAATTTTTAACGACTTATTAACAGGACAAATTAATAATCGCATATGATATCCATGCCATAAAAAATACTTCAGGGTTGATATGACATAATATTAAAAAATTAAAAAAATCTGTAAAAAAGACAAAAGACTTTTTCTCTGCTAAGGGAGGCTACCAACTGAAAGATAGATAGGTTCCAATCATAAAAGAAAAAAAGGACCTTATCTTAAAAAAAAAAAAGAGATTGAGGATAAATTTGTACAGGAGATATGAAAGCACTTGATTTGGCGCTTCTAGATACGACATGTAGAAAAAAATTGGATATTTTTTCTTTGGATTATGAGAGAGAAGAAATGGGATGAAGCAAACCTAAGCTAGCAATTAAAAAAGTCAAGCTTTGTGGACTGTTTCTTTTCATTTGTCTGCAAGAAAAAAACAAAGGGTTTCTATCCTTTCTATTCTTCCAATGGAGAGGGATCGGCAAAAAAAAGTATGTTATCTTCAAAAGCATGATTTACTACTATTTTTATAAGCGTGATTGAGATTAAAATTTTGTCGAATAAAAATAATATAAATATATAAATTATTAATATTTTATATAAAATAAATAGATAAACTATTATATTTAAATGAAAACATAAAAAAAAAAAAAAGTCATTTGCATCAGTGAACTTTTGCATGTGGGGGGCGTTGGATTTGATTTGATCCTCTTTCCTCCTCCCAAAGGAACCTGTTTGAGTGTGAAAGACACTTTAAGCTAATAATCATGTTTGTCTTTAGTTTTTTTATTTAATGATAAAGTAAATTTTAAGGAGACATCAAAATAGGTTTTGACTTCAATCTCCCGTTCCCCTTGTGCTCTGTCCCCCTTATCAAATTAAAAAAAACAAAAGTAAAGGTATATATATAAATTTAGGTTTTGGATCTAATTAGTTTTAATATACGAGTTTCCTGCGGATAAATTTTTTTATACAAAAACGTTCGTAGTTTGGGAATAAAAATTTATAGATATTAAAATTAAAATTTTAAATTTATTAAATATTATATTTTAAAAAATTATATAAATTAATTCAATTAATTTTTAAATTATGTGAATAATGTTTTTTGAAAGAAAATGATAGAGTTAAATTAATTCAATTTGAAATCCAATCATTGTTTTATTTTTATTATGATCATTTTAATTAGATCTCTTCTTTGTCTGTAAAACATAATATAATAATATTAATAAAAAAATTTTGTGTAAAAATGAACCAAGCAAAATTTGAAAGGTGAAGGGAAAAAATTGCTCAAAGTCAATTCCACGTCAAATCAATCTTTTAATTATAATTAATCGTACCAACAATTTACTCTTACCGTTGCCAAGAAAAAAGTTTGAGGTGGATTTTTTTTTTTTTAATTTCAAGATCAAAATATAATGTAATGGATATTTAGAATAATGACTCAAATCTCATAAGAGATTTATTTGAGATTTATTTAAGATTTGTTTGAAATTTATTTAAAATTTATCAGATATTATTTGATC